AATCTTGTTTCTTTTTACGTGTCAATTGTATTTTAACATAATTAACTGAAAGAACAATATTTTGACAAAAGCCTCTGTAGATTACCAACCAATTAGTTATTGATCACATTAAAACAATCCAAAATGTTCTGATTTTATCTACTACGTCAATATTGTGTTTTACATAATATGCAAATGTTGGGCATATTTAATGAGATAACACATATGCATAAATGAATGAGGGGAAAGTCACAATACAACATTTTTTTGTAGTTTTGTGTATATTCATCTGGTAATTTAGTTAAGATTAGTTAAGGTGAATTTGACCCTTTATCAATGTTAGTTTTGTTTTTGGGTTGTGAAATGATGGTCATCCCCGACAATGTAGGCTATCTGCCTACCATCAATGCTCCAGCGATACAAATGTCTACTGCTAACGAGGTGCTTAACCAGTCACTGAGCGTCATGCAGTACTTAAGCCTGACAAAGATTGTCTGCATCTTTGACCAAGCCCTGCAAGCAAAGGCTGTCGAGATCACTTGGAAACACTGTGACACGTTCCATGATATCATCGTCAGGCTTGGGGTATTCCACACCATTTGCACACTGGTGGCAATAATAGGAAAGCGTTTCCAAAATGCTGGACTCCGAGATCCCTGCATTGAGTCTGGCATGATCGCAGAAGGCTCCATTGCTGGTGTTATGGATGGCCGCAAGTGCAACAGGGCAGTGCGACTACACAAACTCCTGTATGAAGCTCTCATGCGACTGACATGGAATGGTTTCCTGTCCTGGTTGAAAGCAACTGACATGAACGACATGGTTCACCTGGATGAGACACTGAGGACCATTGACAACCTTGGGAAAGAAGTCTCACAAGCCACTTTGAAGGAGGTCCTCGAGAACAGCTCATGTACACGCATCATGGAACTGTTTGATGTCTACCACGAGTTACTCAGAGGTGGAAACGGCAGCCTCTCGACCTTCTGGATGTCCTATTTGGACATGGTAAAAATCTTGTTAGGGCTCATCCGCGCATCCAGAGAGGGAGACTAGATGCTACACTTGGCAAGTATTCGAGCAATGATCCCATGGTGCTTCGCTTATGATAGGATTAATTATGCACGCTACCTCCCCTACTACTACGCCCAGATGTCTCAGCTGCCCATCACACACCCAGATGTGTCCACGGAATTCATGGAAGGAGGCTTCTCAGTTCAAATGGGCTCCACCAATCCCTTTGGCCGAATCCCTGTTGACCAAGCTATAGAAGAAACGGTGAACAAAGACACCCAGACAGCTGGAGGGACAAAGGGATTCAGCTTGAAGCCAGGTGCCATGACCAAATATTAGCTAACAGCTGAGTACAGAAGCATGTACCTTAGACAGCTGAGAGACCTGATAGGTCAAGGCAGGTCCAAACTGTCCCATCCAGATTTACAGGGTCCAAGGATCAAAAGAGATGAAGCAGATGTCCAGTCTCTCATTGACCTTATGGAGAATAACTGGATCAATCCTACGTCGCCTGATGACCTGGTTAGCCTCTCCACTGGCACCATGGCTCCACCTGATGTGACCAGGTATCTCTTGAGAGCTCTTGAGATAGGAGAAGAGGCCTACCAGGTATTCAAGCAAACAAGGTTAGCTGAAGACCAACCATCTGTGAAATTCCACGACAAGATGACCAAGAAAAGTCTGAAGACATTATCCAATATCAGCACAAAAACAGCACATGGAAAGAAAGCACAGGATGTGTTTCTGAAGGCAGACATAAACCTTAGTTTTTTCGGTAAAGTCACGTTGAAGAGAAACAACAAAGTATATATAAAATAAAAAAAAATTCTCACGACGTTTCGACCATAACTCAAAACGTCGTGAGAATTTTTTTTTTATTGTTTTATATATATTTTGTTATTTTGTTGTTTCTCTTCAACGTGACTTTACCGAAAAAACTAAGAATATGAATTACTGCAGTCACGAAAGCTTTAAATCAAAATTTAAAGACATAAACCTGTTCAGCCACATGATCCTGGTGGCTAAAAGCAGGAAAGGTTAATATGAAGGATGTCCTTGCCCACCCACTGGGCCTACTGCCATGGGCGCTGGCAAATGCTGATGGGTCCCTACGAAAAACAAACAAGACTGCACTTGCCAGAGAGCTTGAAAAGAATGTGTCTCCTGCAGAAGACATCCCAACCCCATCTACTGCCATCATTGATGGGATGAGCCTGGTCCAAAAAATGAATGGCAACAACAAAACCTTTGCATGGTCAGCCTTGACTCAGGTCCTCCACGAGGGGGCACAGAGTGAGAGGACTGATGTTATTTTTGATGTCTACCGACAGACTTCGATAAAAGATGCTGAACGACTGAACCGGGTGCAGACACCACTCTCCCGTACAAATAACCTTGCAGGGGGACACCACATCCAGCAGTAGAGAACATTCCTGTGCAGTCCCTCCAACAAGACCAGTCTCATCAAGTTTCTGGTGGAAGAGTGGAAACTCCCACGATATAGAGAAATGCTGCATGGCAAGGTGTTGTACATGACCTGAGGAAACCTGCTACAAGTTGACAGAAGATGAGTGTGAGGAAGTAGCAGAGCTGACATCCGTCTGCATGCATTGCACGCAGCAAATGTGGGCTCAAAGGCAGTTATCATCACAGCTGAGGACACTGATGTCATGGTGCTTTGTCTTGGCTTCCAGAAGGACATCACCTGTCCCATCTAACAGAAGTGTGGGACACAGAACCGCACACGGTTTGTCGATATCAGCAAACTGGCAAGGTCACTTGGAGACAGCATCTCTGACAGCCTAATTGGCTTACACGCCTTCACAGGTTGCGACACTATCAGTACATTCGCCGGTCGAGAGAAGCTGAATGCCCTGAAGATGGTGAGAAAGGACACTTCCTGCCAAAATACTTTTAGTCGACTGGGGCAGTCATGAAATGTGAGTGATGAGCTGTTACAGAAAATTTTGCAGTTCACCTGTCGCCTGTATGTTGCTAACAGCAGCACTGGTGAGGTGAACGAACTGCGCTACCAGCTCTTCTGCACCAAAAGGGGAGAAGTCGAGCCCAGCCAGCTGCCGCCATGTAGAGACTGTCTCTCCATGCATGTTCAACGAGCCAACTATCAGGCAGCAATCGGGAAGTGCTGTCTGCAGGCTAACCCTGTGGTGCCAAGCCCTACTGAGTATGGATGGACAGACGATGATGGCAAGCTGGCCATTTACTGGCTGCGCTCCCCACCCGCACCAGATGTGGTCTTGGAACTGCTAGCATGCAAGTTTGTGCGTTCATGCAAAATGCCAAGCTGCACGTGACTGTCAAATAGACTGACACGCAGACATGCGCAGGTTACAGACCTGCAGTAACTAAAAACTGCAGGATGATCCAGAACCTGACTTTGAACTCGGGGAGTCAGATGACGAGATAGACGAGCAGTTTGACGAATGACACAGGGTGGTGATTCTGATGGTATAACTGTGGTGGTAGTAGTGTACATTGATGCAGTGTGGTGATTCTGGACTTGGTTACCCTTGTTAACACCAAGTACACACAGAGCTTGATAACAATAATGTAACCTTCTTCACATATACCCATCACTAACGATATATATGGGATTACATGTATCATTGACTAAGTATATGGTAATGACAATGTTTATAATATTCAAGTAGTTCTTGACCTCACTATGGTTTTCCTTATTATCCTGTTTTCATTGTGTATTTAAACCAATAAAGATCAGTTTGTGGCCTAACTGGCTTTGGTCGAGGTAGTTTTCAGTAATGATGCCAATTTCAACCTTCCGGATGCCGGTCATGGGGTATGGGTATAAAAATCATGGTAACTACAACTAAGCTGCCACTCCGCAAAGGTTATGATATCAGAAAATGTCCCACACAGATGGAGGATTACAAAAATCATTACTAGACTTTGCCACCTCAGCTGGTACCAATAAGTGATTTTTTTTGGTCTGGGGCCCATGGACTATAATTGGGGCATGGGCAGACTGAGAACCATGCGAGTAATCCGTTCTTGGTGCAATGCACGTTAGCATTATGGGGCGTCTAACATTGAGAGGGGTTTGTTCCTGAATAAACACTTTGGTCAGCTAAAGCGACTGAGTTGTTTTGAAAGAGGGTGATAACTGGTCTTGGAGTAAAGATTCCAGTGATGAGTGGAGTAGTTGGTTTGTAAGTTCAAGTAAAAGGCGCAATAACAGACAGGATTGAGCAAATCTAAGGTGGATTTAGAGGTTGATGTGTATTGTCAGCATAGTCCAGGTGAGGCATAGAAGGCAGCAGCTTTAAATAATTTCCATGTAGAAGATGGGAAACATGATTTTATTGAATACAAAGTTCCCCATATTTATTCTTAAATTTTCTTAAAATATTTGAAGTTTGAGAAGAGATTTAAATTTCGATTTAAAGCTTTCGTGACTGCAAGGATTCATCTTCTTTGGTTCTTTCGGTAAAGTCACGTAGAATGAGAATAAAATAATAAATTGATAAAATAAAATAACACAATAATATTGAGAAGAGAATCAAGCCAGATGCCAAGATGCTTGTATGATGATTCATTTTCAATTAGTATTGTGTCCCGTATTGCAATGGCTATGGATAAAGTGCAGTTGCTCCGAGCTGCTGTAAGTTACACATTGTTTTGTGTTTGCACTCAAGTGGCTGTAGTCATCTTGTAATTTTAGTTGTACATTGTCGAATTGGAAATCCTGGGTCAGAGATAATTATGTAACTGCCAAAAATTGTATGTTAAAATGAGACAGAACTGATGCGATATTATTTATATAGACTATACTGCAACTTAGCACAGAATCCTGTGGGAGAACTTTGCTGAGTGGAATGAAGTCAGAAGATTGCCAAATGTTACAGACTGATAGCCTTCAAGGGGGTACTTGAATGCTTTTAATGGAGCACAATAAGTATAACTACCAGGCTAATTATGAAAACCCTGCTATTTCCATGGAGAACAAATGCTGCCCATTTCCAGCTTGCTATTAATATTGCTTTGATGTTAGGTTTTATTTACATTAAAAGGTAGAAAGGAGAACACCAACGGAACCACAAATATTACAATCCAATTCTGGAACAAACAATCCAATGCTACAGCAGTTGTGCATTAATGCACTAAACCGATATTTCCTGGAACGCCAAGTTCCCGCAGTGTGGAGACGCAGGGCACAACAAATCGCTATTATATGTGGTACAATTATATCCGCCCGCATTATTTTGAGGGCACAAGTATATGATTTCCTCAATTCAAATGTTGGTGGGGAAGGCAAATAAATGCCTTCCCAACTCCATTCCCACACCATTGTCAAGACATGGTTTGGGTGTACAGGTACTGAAGCGTAGCTTACACAAACACAACAAAATCCGTCTAAGCTCACTGACCTTCACATCTAATGTGGTATAAAGTACAATGTATCATTCCATATTTCAATGTTTTGTATTAAATAAAATCCATCTTGAATTAACCACATTTGAAATTAAACTACATTTCTCAAACAGAACAAACAGTACTTAACAAGAATGGGTAAGAGCATGATTACAATATGCATAAATGAAGCGGCAACATTTACAAAAGGTTTATTTCAGCACTGATTCACACAATCTGCAATCCACCATTAGAGTACACTATACATCTATAACAAATTCAACCATCAAAGTGTTCTCGACTTCATACAAATAAAAAAAATTGTATTTTATAAATTCCGAAAGCATATGCACTGCCATGTGCTTAAACTAGGAACTCTTAACATGTAGATTTTGCAGCCATAATCATTTATAATTGTGTTTTGAGTCAGACCACGTAATGGTTTGGTCAAATATCTGTAGTCGATTTAATGATTGGTTATGTTGGGTGGTGGAGAGTCTTACAGCAGAAATGTTGCCAGATCATCACGTGGCCTAAACCAAAAATCTATTTAGAATTAGAACTGGCAACTCATTGGCATGGTGTGATAACAGGCGCACACGTGTCTTCTGTGGAGAATTGTATTGCTTTGAAGTAACAAAATTCATTTTAACACCCCAGAACTGGGGAACATTCACATTGAATACCAGTTTCTCACTCGGAACTACTTATGTGGTGTTTGGACCCAACTTCAATGTAATGGGCTGTGAAGACAAAAAACAAGTTATTTTGGTATCACATTTTAAAATCTTACAAACCAACCTGTAGGCAGTAAAATAAATGGTGTACAGTATATACAATGAATTACATTTTTTACGTAATTCTTACAATTCAAATACATTCATATGATTCTCCTTAGAAGCTGAAACTGTTGAAAATTTTATAACAAGGTAGTTGTAACACATTTTAAAACTATTTGTTATCAGCGAAACGAAAAATACAATCATGGAATAAATACAGCCATAACCAGGATTAATTCGGGTGGCAATGGAAAATGTTGAGGACTCGGACTGCCAGATTGACTGCGTTGTCTCATCCCCATGCTATGCTCAACAGATCACAACACTTCTCGTTCGGATTCTTCCCTCGCACCACTCGCCTATGAAATTCCATCCCATCTTCTCTATTTTTCAAAGTATTCAAGAAATGTGTTAACTCTATTCGACTATAACTTTGATAGTGCTGTTTTTTGCTGTATTGTTCTCTGCTATTGCTGTCCAATTTCGCTGTTTCTCGTATTTTCATGCATGCCACTGCCGCATGTTTTCTGCTGTTGCTACACAAGCCCCCTTCTTTCATGTGCCGTGTTGCAGAGATACAGTGAGGGAAAAAAGTATTTGATCTCCTGCTGATTTTGTACGTTTGCCCACTGACAAAGAAATGATCAGTCTATAATTTAATGGTAGGTTTATTTGAACAGTGAGAGATAGAATAACAACAACAAAATCCAGAAAAACGCATGTCAAAATTGTTATGAATTGATTTGCATTTTAATGAGGGAAATAAGTATTTGACCCCTCTGCAAAACATGACTTAGTACTTGGTGGCAAAACCCTTGTTGGCAATCACAGGTCAGACGTTTCTTGTAGTTGGCCACCAGGTTTGCAGACATCTCAGGAGGGATTTTGTCCCACTCCTCTTTGCAGATCTTCTCCAAGTCATTAAGGTTTCGAGGCTGACGTTTGGCAACTCGAACCTTCAGCTCCCTCCACAGATTTTCTATGGGATTAAGGTCTGGAGACTGGCTAGGCCACTCCAGGACCTTAATGTGTTTCTTCTTGAGCCACTCCTTTGTTGCCTTGGCCGTGTGTTTTGGGTCATTGTCATGCTGGAATACCCATCCACGACCCATTTTCAATGCCCTGGCTGAGGGAAGGATGTTCTCACCCAAGATTTCACGGTACATGGCCCCGTCCATCGTCCCTTTGATGCGGTGAAGTTGTCCTGTCCCCTTAGCAGAAAAACACCCCCAAAGCATAATGTTTCCACCTCCATGTTTGACGGTGGGGATGGTGTTCTTGGGGTCATAGGCAGCATTCCTCCTCCTCCAAACATGGCGAGTTGAGTTGATGCCAAAGAGCTCCATTTTGGTCTCATCTGACCACAACACTTTCACCCAGTTGTCCTCTGAATCATTCAGATGCTCATTGGCAAACTTCAGACGTGCATGTATATGTGCTTTCTTGAGCAGGGGGACCTTGCGGGCGCTGCAGGATTTCAGCCCTTCACGGCGTAGCGTGTTGCCAATTGTTTTCTTTGTGACTATGATCCCAGCTGCCTTGAGATCATTGACAAGATCCTCCCGTGTAGTTCTGGGCTGATTCCTCACCGTTCTCATGATCATTGCAACTCCACGAGGCGAGATCTTGCAAGGAGCCCCAGGCCGAGGGAGATTGACAGTTCTTTTGTGTTTCTTCCATTTGCGAATACAGTAATCGCACCAACTGTTGTCACCTTCTCACCAAGCTGCTTGGCAATGGTCTTGTAGCCCATTCCAGCCTTGTGTAGGTCTACAATCTTGTCCCTGACATCCTTGAAGAGCTCTTTGGTCTTGGCCATGGTGGAGAGTTTGGAATCTGATTGATTGCTTCTGTGGACAGGTGCCTTTTATACAGGTAACAAGCTGAGATTAGGAGCACTCACTTTAATAGTGTGCTCCTAATCTGAGCTTGTTACCTGTATAAAACCCACCTGGGAGCCAGAAATCTTTCTGATTGAGAGGGGGTCAAATACTTATTTCCCTCATTAAAATGCAAATCAATTTATAACATTTTTGACATGCGTTTTTCTGGATTTTTGTTGTTATTCTGTCTCTCACTGTTCAAATAAACCTACCATTAAAATTATAGACTAATAATTTATTTTTCAGTGGGCAAACGTACAAAATCAGCAGGGGATCAAATACTTATTTCCCTCACTGTAAGCAACACATTGGCTGCCCCTCCCATGCTGTTTACGCCAAACAGCTTTCCTTGCTTCTGCCTCGCAACTCTCGTCCTCCGCCCACTCACAACTTTGGAAGCCCTTGTAAGCAGTTGCATTTGGAGGCTTGCCCCCTCTTTCCTCTCCGCCTGATGAAGACCGCTTGTGTTGCGATCGAAACGTCGCGGGTTTTTTGCTTATATTCTTTATCTAATTTTAATTTTATTATTTTCTATCTACGTGACTTTACCGTAAGAACCAAATAATACATTTTTGGAACAGCAACAAAAGTTATATATCAATGTTTAGGTTCTTTAGCACTTCAACAGCATTGGTTGTAATTTATCAGCAATTGATAAAAAAAAATATGACCCTTTTCAAATGTGGAGTAAAATGCTGTATAAACATTACGGAAGGAGTAATTTGTGGGAATACCTTGCTGCAGTAAGGACACTTTCCAAACACGACGTTGAAGCTCTGTGTGCACGAGGGAAGAGACCTCAGCCACTGCTCACATGGCAGACATCAAGACACAGACGGACACATTCACAGTATTCAGACAAGTTGTTGAAGAGACAAATGTCACAGGGTGCAAAACCAGGGTCAAAATACTTGGAAAATGTTGACATTTCTGTGGCTTAACAGGCTCGATGGTTGCATTTTCGTGATTATTTACCTTTTCAGTCCAGTGGCAAGACAAAACAAGTCCAGGTGTTTAATTTAAATTATGACACATTTATTGCTTAAATGAAGTCACGAGCAGGTGTTAAATAGTACAAACATTGAATTAAGGTGTTTATCAGAAATAATTGATTTAACAAAGAAGATGACCTCCTGTTTTCATTATGATGGAGACAGTAATTAAAATCGTTACATAATTACGCATACGACAGCAGGTGTCTTAACCGTGAAACAAGCCACTATCTTTGAAGCTGTTGTCCTAAAAGATTACATGAATTAAATAGTAATTAAATTCTGGCGCACTCCAAGCTGAAGTATTTGTGACTTAGAGAAACTGTGCATGGGATGGGCTAAATGTATTTTTGATCGTACATTCCATATATAAGGAAACATTTGATTTGTGGCACGGCAGTATATTTACATCTACACAAATTCTATACGATGGGGTTATGTAAACCAGTGCTTATTTAAAGCAATCTAATTTGGCTAATTCACTTTCATGTTTGAGGCCATGCCTTGACCATATACTTTCGGTGCTTGCATTCCTATATGGGCCAACTTTCATTAACAATGTTGTACCTCTTCTGTCAGAGAATAATCAGCAATGAGTGATACACTTCGTGGGTGTGTAATTTATGCTGGTATTTTTTTTGACTCGCCACGATTGTGCGTCAAAACTTGGCAGCTCATCAAATCCCATTCAAAGAGAAAAAGTTAACCCTTTTCAATACCCTATCATTTTAAATGCTCAATTGTTATTTTATAAAGGATATCCAATACAGATTTTTCCTACGATGCATTCATTTTCATTAGGTAAACTAAAACCCATGCTACTTCTGAAACGCATCAATCCTGTCTGTTAGTTATTTTCTGTTGATGGCTTATTTGCTGATGTTAACTGGTGCAGCACAACATTCGAAAGCATCGCTAAACCTGTTAATCTCGCACGATGCTGCCCGACCATAATCAGAAGCATTATTATCTGATGCAGCCAGGATGACTGTTGGCTGTAACAAGATTTAGGCTGCCATCGTGTCCGACATATCGTTTTTTTTTCGCATTTTCAGAATGTTTAATGTTATCGGCCGCTTTGTACAATGCAATAACATGACACAGCGTTGCCGTTGATGCCGATTGCGGCCCTGAAATGTTATATTTTGATTGCTGTTCCATTTACCGCTTTTAGAATGGGCTTCATACGAGGATAAAATTGCTTAAAGTTGAACCGATTGCAATGTAAATTTGATGCGTTATCGTAAAAGCAAGACAAATGAATAATTTGGCAAGTTTGCAACAATTAACAAACTGTTAGAACTGACATAATTATGTAAACAAACACTCACTATTTCTCTCAAATCAGTACAGTAGTCCGTATTTGACCAGGTGAATGCAATAAAGGTTGTATATTAGCAAATTAACAATACTATATAATAATTACAAATGCCTGTAACATTTTTTTAAACCTATTAGTGACATTGCTGATTAGACCACAACCTAAACTTAATACGAAAATATTAGTAATCAAAATCTGTCATCAAAACGAAACAAAAAATAGCACTGGCAGCTTTAACATATATGTATACAATGAAGGGAGCATGCCAATAATATTGTAGCCACGGTGTAATTCGATTCAGAAACATAGAAAGATCCCACTGCTTGTTAAATTTGAGTCCAAAAAGGAACTACAAAAGCAGAAATAATATCCAACAATTGCCCTCAGTGCGACCAATGAAGCAGTTAAAATTCACAACACACACACAGATGGCTTGGCGGACCTCGTAAAGGCAGGCCTGGTGGAAGGGCTGACCACACCGAGGCTCGTCGCACACCTGGTCAGGGATTGCACCTTCCAGCCGGTATGCATAACAGATGCCACACTCCATACTGAAGTCCTGCGATGCACACAAGTCAAATGTCCTTCATTCAACCAAATTAGTATCCAGTGAAAGTATCTCTTTGTTAGAAGGGTGCTGCAATTGTATGTTTGCATATTTCTTTGTGGCTATTTTGCATGTCGGAGGAAATTGTAGGTATGTACGTTGAACTTTTTTCGCACCGTACGTAGCCAACCGTGCTAATCGGAGGTGCTGTAGTAGCAGAAAACATATATACTGCTTTCCACAGGTCACCAATTGACCTGCCGATGCCATGCTTCAAACATAATAAAAAAAATATGTAAACAATAGTCCTGTCTCCAAAACAAGGTATTCAGGTCTACCACCAGCTTTAAATTAAGTTGTGGGAGACTTAAAAATTTGCAACTTTACCTATACCTTTCGATTTAAAGCTTTCGTGACTGCAAGGATTAATCTTCTTTGGTTCTTTTGGTAAAGTCATTAAGACATCCTTTTTGGATGTCTTAATTAAAAGGAGACATGATGGTTCAATGAGCCACTCTGTCTACAGGAAAGCTACCCATACAGATGCTTACTTGAAACCGGATTCCCACCACCATCCATCCAAGAAGAACTCCCTCATCAAGACTCTATACCATAGAGCCCAATGCATTTCCGACCAGGAACACATTACCAGTGAATTCAAGCACGTACACCAGGCTCTCAGGGATAATGGTTACTCCGACTACACAATCCGCAAAGCCATCACTCCAGTCATGAAGAAGGATCCTCTTGTGGAGCCACTCAAAACCATCACCTGACCCTACATTGCTGTTCCAGACATACAGTACCCGGGCGTTTACAAACTAAAGTGCCTCTGTGGTAGTAGCTACATTGGAGAAACCAAACGACATATCTCGGACCGCATCCGCGAACATAAAGCAGACTTGAAACACGGTAGAACGAACTCCTCTGCCGTGGCAGATCACTGTTATAATTCAGTGGGCTCACATGACATTGACTTCTCCAAGACGGAGGTTCTTTGCAAACCAACCGGCTACCATGAGAGATTCGTTCATGAGGCCATTCACATATACAAGCACAGAGACAATTTCAACCGAGAAGATGGATTCTGGCTTAGTAACCATTGGAAAGATGTTTTAAACCATTTCCATTCTTAATTAATTGTATTTTACGATGACCTTCAGACCGCAGCTCTTTCGCTGGCATTGACTCTTAATACCTCTCACACCACGGTTAATGGTATGGTTTACAACATGGAGTATAACAGCGCCTCGCAGCTGTCTCTCTCCCCCTCCTCTGTTCCGACCATGGATGAACTCGTCCGTCTGAACGGGGCCCGTAGCTATCCGTGTTGCTAAAGTTGAGGGTAAGAATCCACCCATTTTTTCGCCATATAGCATTGTGATATATAACGAGTTATTGTTGGTAGCTTAGCTGATTGGAGAATATATAGAGTTTATTGATAATATTGAGGTAATTTATATTTTAGTTTTTTTATTGGTTCACTATATAGTATTCATTATATATTGCAGTGTATACCCAGTTACTGTGAATAGCTCAGATGTGTAGGCCTTGACTTCAACATAGCCATTTCTGTGACCAGTCACAAGCTAATCACTCAGTTATTTCAATGATAAATTCGCCTAGTTATTTCAATGCTAAATTCTCCTGTTTGATTTGTACTAGGTGTCTCTGTGAATGTGTATGCTCTGACTTTAACATAGCTATTTCTGTGACCAGTTACAAGCTAATCACTCAGCTATTTCAATGCTAAATTCTATGCTAATTCCTTTTTCAAGGGGTGCCTCTGCGGATGTGCATGCTTTAACTTTAACATAGCCATTTTTGTGACCAGTCACAAGCTAATCACTCAGCCATTTCAATGCTAAATTCTATGCTAATTCCTTTGTCAAGGCGCTTTGTTTCTTCTCACACAGCTTAAAGGTCGCGATCTGAGCGTGGCTTTTTCACTCCAGCGCTGTCCTCCAGACAGTCTCGTCCCTTCACCTGATGAAGGCCGCTTGTGTTGTGGCCGAAACGTCGTGAGAATATTATTGTGTTATTTTATTTTATCAATTTATTATTTTATTCTCATTTTACGTGACTTTACCGAAAGAACCAAAGAAGATTTACCTATACCGTCAACACCAAAAGATTTATAAGTCAAAGCTCAATGCAATCCCAATTGCTAATTCATAGATGTATGAAAGCCAATGAAGTGTAAAAAAACAGTAATTAAAAAAAAAATTCCACAGTTGATGATGAAACACAATGGACATGTAGTGATGTGAGACAGCACTTGGTGTTTTTAACGATTCACTGCAACGGCAGCAAACAGTTAATGAACCTCGGGAATGGCAGCGGCAGTAATGCGTGTGTCGGCAGTGGTGAAAGAGAATGCAGCCTTACGGCCTTGTTGTGGGTTGCGGGCGAAGGAAGCTCAATCTCCAGCAGGTGGAGCAGGTTGTGCAATACTGAGGCTTCAGGGTGCCTGTTAAACGTACAAACGTGGTCATTTCCCAACGTTATATCGAGTGCAAGTATACAAAGTGTAGATGCAATGCTTACACGAGCATGCACCGCCAACAGTAACTTCAGCCACAATTTTCACACAAACTGAAACTTCTCATGATTCCTGTTACTTACCAATGATGCATGTTTGCACTGAGCTTGTTCCTTAGAGGGGTGACCACTGAAAAGGTAAAATTATTGTTATACAACACAATTTCATCGTAATGCAGTTGTTTTAGCAGATGGAGTTTAGTCTTGTGGTTCTGTTAACAGAATAATAGTTGAGGAGACAGGATAACAAGTTATATTTAGACTATTCTGCAGTAATTTTGCAACATGACATCACTCAAGATAACCGGATTACAGGGATACCAGTTGAATATGAATTAGAATTAATAAAATATAATCAAGGAAAGCAGTGCCATAGTAATTAACACACTACATTGTAATGCCAGCGGACCAAATAGGAAAGCCAGCTATGGCCAACAACGATGACGAGTGAGATCATCTAAACTGATCCTGGCTCCACACTCACCAATCCACACTGACCAGCATGGTGAAGTATGACCAGACAACTCCAAGGAGGAGGCCTTAATCCAGAAATGAACAAAGGGGTGCCTTAGCATCGGTTATAAAAGGGATACGATGGATGTATAATAGTATGGGTTGGGTTTAGAACAAAACCCATGAGCAGTGGATGCCATACCGTGGTCAGCACCTAGGAAGCGACATTCGGGAAACGTCTTGGGATGCTGTGGGTCCACCTCCAGGTGCAGCGATGCACTATTGCCTGGAAATAATTTTATTTTCAATGTGTTTTTGATAAAAAAAAAACCAGGGACATAGATATAGAAACATTATTCTGTGTTCACATGTTACTTTTTTCCCATGAGCTAAAAACTATACTCCACTTTCCTCACACGCAAGTACGGTGTCAGGGGAATGGTTGTGCATGTCTGTAATTTAGTAGTTTGCAGCTAAAGGATGGTGGATCACATGGATTTGTGAAATGCCAGCTGGGCTGAGCTTTGGGGTGGCCAGAAAATTGTCATATGTAGTGGATTCAACTGAGTCTCAGACATACTCTTTGGAGGCAACACATTTATTAATACCAACACATTAACACAAAAGGGGTAACTGCCCCTTTATATCAGATAACACCCTATGGTGGTGGATCACCAGGCAAACTAAACTAGTTACACTGGGAGTAGCTACAACGGACAGGACGCTGGCTTGGGTCCTAGTCCACGTATTGGTGACTTCTTCTTGGACGTAGAACGTATATCTTCAGATGGCAACAGCAACGCTGCACCCCCGGTCCCTCTCAGGGGCCCGGTTTATATGCTCATTGGCCATGGCTGGCTCCGCCCTTGGCCACGACCACCTTCTCGAACCCTCTAGCAGGATCTCGTCCCAGCACGTGACCACCCCCAGCCCCCACTTGGGGCCCTTGTGTAGATCTTACTGGTCACGTGCCTTCCAGGGTCAACCAGAGTGCCATGGCCTGGGGTAACCTCATTCCATGGCTGACACTCCCACACCCCGTCCTGTCGGCACTGCACGCCACGCGTGGTGCCACCCAGCGCTATGACTCAGCGCTCACCGAGCCCCCACTAGGGCTGGTACTACACCCACCTACGGGGTGTCTGGTAGGACAGCGCTGTCCTACCAGACAGTCTTGCCCCTTCACCTGATGAAGGCCGCTTGTGTTGTGGCCGAAACGTCGTGAGAATATTATTGTGTTATTTTATTTGATCAATTTATTATTTTATTCTCATTCTACGTGACTTTACCGAAAGAACCAAAGAAGATGAATCATTGCAGTCACGAAAGCTTTAAAACAAAGTATTTCGCCTAGCAGGTACTTCAGTTTACTCAAGATCAAGATGTCATCATGCCCAAAGCCGTTGATACCACAACACATACCCTTGTAATTCGCTGACCTGCTCCTACTGGACATCTGTGAAAAAGAGCTTCATAGTTCATCGGATTCCTCCAGGATAAATTGAGATTCTGAGATTCCGTAGCTGCTGCACAGTCGACTTGTGACCTCCAAGATCTACCTTGGCAGTGTCCTGCCATTTGGTCCCAGGTCTACCCCTTGATCGCCGTAGAGTTTATTTGCAAAAAACACTCGTGAAAAGAATCGGCCAAATCTCTTAATACAAGACCCTCGTAAAAATAGTCTGAAGATGCATGGATAAGCAAATGATGATATTATCCCTGTTATGCCCATAGTGTTTGTGGTAACCACTAAGGATGGAGATGCTCGTGTGTGGCATACAGACCAATGGCGATGCGGCGTGTAGTGGAAGCACGGGAGGGCTTCTCGGGTTCCAGCACCCAGGTGTTCCGGTCGATCTCATCCATCGTGTCCCAGAAATCCTTCAGGGCTTCCACGGCTGTCAGGAAATGACTTTGCATGGTAGCCAGGCTGCTCTGTAGGCGCACGGCATTCACGTGCCATTCACATGACTTTCACGCGCAATTCACAAGCCATTTAAGTGCTATTCGCATGCCAGTCCCATGATATTCACTTGCATTCAGGGCTCGGGATTAGAAGGCAAGGTGAATCCATAGACGACTCACTATAGATAAGCTTCGTGCAGCAATTAAAAATGCTCAAAAACAAATGTTGTGCATTCATACCAGAATTACCAATGCAAAGATAGGAATGTAAATATTATCAGATTATATGAATGGCACAATTTGCAAAATTGTATAAATTTATGAGAATTTGCATGTCAGCTATATTCTACATTATTTCATTAGATTAAAAGGTTTCACAATGGAAATTAATGCATGAAAGTGTCTTAATACTGGAAGACAGATATATAGAGAGCTACCAAACCTCTTTAGAATATTGTAATCAAGCATTTGCTTGCAGAACTCAGTAACGGTAATCAATCAATACTGGTTTTCAGACATTACAATATGCTTGACAATGACTAAAAAAAAATCAGGCTCCTATTATCACACCATGTCACCCACTGTATTGGGTGGGAATGTGTGATTATTCACAAGTGGGGTGGATACACAAGGTGGAGATTTGCTTCCCGCTGATCTGCGTTCATCAACTATAGTATGTGTTTATCCACTGTGCAATTAAGTGGTTGGCAAGCTGTAGCAGGGATATTTAACAAACATGTTATAAGAATAACAGGTAATTAAAATACTGTCTCTGACTGCTAGGCCTTGATGAGGTATGCTCAGGTCTTGTTTTGTTTGTTAAAACTGAGTGGAGAAGAGGGAATTGCATACGAACAAGCCTGCAATCATGCATATTGTTTGTGGTCAAAGTGATACGATTTTAAACGTAGAAGGAAAAGTTTTTCCAGTTACTGACATGTAGATGACATGATATAATTAAGACAAAAAACTACTGCAATAGTCTTCCTAGTATCATTGTCAGTCATCATCTATCCACTGCTGAGTGAAGGTCGCACCACACCAATCTATGTCCCTCATGGTCTCTTGATGACACAATCCATCTCGCTCCTGCACGTGAAGTTATCTCCCTGCTATGTCTCCCCAGTGGTGATCTCATCAATTGGCTACAATTCCATAAACGGTTTTGTCCCCAGTAATCATTCCTTCTTGCAGTGCACCCTACCTAAAATCCTCAGTGTCTCGGATTTGCATTTATTCTCTTATGCACGTGTTTGCCTTTTTTGTTTGTGCAATTCCAAACATGCATCTGTCCAAGTGTATTTGCATCATTTTCAGCTTTTGTTGGATTTTATTTCAGTGTCAATGTTTCTGATGCATGTCATGGTCGAAACTATGCACTAATTGAACACGTTCTTCTTGAGGTACATTGGTTGCTACTCCTTGTCAGTGTCATTTTCATCTCTTCATTTAATCATTTTTATCCCGGTCTTCCTTCCGTGATTGCCCGAGGTATGGTATTACATTAAACAGTGCATCTCAAAAAATATATAAGGTATGTTCGTGACACTAGATAACCTGAAGCGTCAATAGTTTTAAAACTGTGCATTAAATATAACCACTTAGTCACTGTGATGTTGTTTTATCTTCGGATGTATATGATTAATGTGTCAGTGTGATTAGCAAAGTATTGTCTCTGGTTTATTTACAGCAAATACTCTTACTTGTGGGGTCCAGTGAAGGTCAAATGTCACAGGGATATCAACCAAGCATTCTGGAGCCTCAACAGGGTACTGTGGACAACAACAATCATAAACATGATCCATTAGCATGCAAACACAACCCTTACACACCTCCACAGACATCTTGCTTGATTTTCACCTTATAAAAATTTGTAATGTAGCCAAGCAACAAGACTGAAAGCATCCTCTGTGCACGTGGCATGACTCCTTGCGCAAGAGGTGCCAGAAAGGTAACAGATTTATCACCGAATGCCCTCTTATATGTGTAGTAACTGTGAATGTCACTGTGTGGTGCCGGGCGGATAATGTGTTGGCATTATGTGCAGCCCGCTTACTGGGCGTAGTACCAGCCCTAGCGGGGCTTGGGTGAGCGCTGGTCAGCACGGAGGCACCGCAAGCAGTGTGTGGTGCGGGCTCCCGGTAAGGAAGTGAGAGAGAGCGTCAGCCAGCCAGGGTTACGTTGGGACATGATATGCCGGTTGACCTGCCGACACGTAACTGGATGATATTGGAGGGGGCCACCGGTGGACGGGAGGCCGCTGGGCGGTCACTTGGTATAAAGGAGCTCTCGGGAGCCTTCGGGAAGGAGCTCGAGAGGTCTAGAAGGTGGGCGGGGCGAGGGGCGGAGCCAGCCCCAGCCTAGGCCGATGTAACGGGGGCCCCGTGTGGGGCTCAGGGTTCTTCGGGTTGTTGGTGAAGAAGATCCACGTCGGGTTGAAGAAGCCTCTAGCCACGCGGTCAGGGACCCAGCTCGTGGTCTGGACCGGGATAGCGAACCTGTCTAGTTCTGCCATAGTATGGTTTGATGGGCATTCAACACCTGAGTGTAGGTTACGTTGTTGTGTTGAGTTGATGTAATAAATAGTGTCGCTCCCAAGACAACGTCTCCGACTCAGTTGGACTCACTACATATGTATGGCAACTGAGCTTGGCTAAGAACTGTAGTCAGGTACATGTTTCTCAACATTTTTGGTCTCAGCAGCATGGTAGAAGCCGCCATGTGGCTTGACACATACATGTGTCAATGTGTCTCCTGTCAGCGCGGCTCACAGGGTCCAGTGGAAGATTAAAATGAGGGTGAGCGACCACTGGCATTCAGAGAAAGGGACACATTCATTTTTGTCCATGCACACAATTACCCAGGAATCGTAAAGCCAGTCACCCGCACCGGCTGTCGGGACTGACCCAGAAAATATTTTCTGAAACGGATGAGTAGTACGGACAATAAATGAATCGTGGAAAAGAACTGTGCAGTGTATATAGAGATATATGCTGTATCCAATTAACAGAACTGTCAAGTATTCCATTAAATACTGGCACCGCTATTTAAATGAGAGACTAACACGAAGCACAATTATACAGTCAGACTCACGAGGGAGCGGGATTTTTCAGCACACACTTTAGCCCCATTACAATGTATTGAACGGTTAAGTGTGCTAATTGATCTACATGAGCTTGTTGGCCTTAACACCATACATCCTGTTGCTAATAAGCGTGAATGCACTGAACAAAATCTATTCTCTTTGCAGCCACTGCCAGCACACCTATCTGTTACCCTTTGGAAGATATTTAATTGGGTACAAATATATCCTCTCAATTGCACGTACACATATCAGAATCACAAATAAATCGATCCTCGATGAAATGGGCTACATAAATGGGTTGCTTAAGTCTATTAAGAAGAGAGAGAGATGATGTTCCTGGGACACGTCCTGAAGAAACCTGGAGACTGCCTGGAGAAGATGCTGATTCAAGGCTCAGTCCCAGGAAAGCGAGGCTGAAGCCAAACCAGAAGAACCATGATTTGATGACGCTGTATGTGATCATGGAAGGCTAGAACCAGAAAGGAATGTTATATATAGTTATATGTACTTGTAAGGATAATAAGTTGTTCTCTACGACTTATCGATGCAGGTCGATCCATATGAGCCCATTCAACAGCAGTGGGAGACTGAAATCTATATATGTAATGCACTTCACATGCACACATCTTGTGTGTGTAGGATTCATTATATTAATTGTATCTATAAAGTATTCTGTAGAACATTCATAAACTACATTGCTTGTGTTGCAGTCGAAACGTCGTGAGAATTTTATTGTTTTATATTTTTATTATTTTATTGTTTCCCTTCTACGTGACTTTACCGAAAGAACCAAGAATATACATTCAGGAGAATTACAAAAATCCATGGCAATGTGACGGTGTGCCACGAATCTTATAGTCAACAGCACACCGTGATATTACTCCAAATAGCTGCACCTAAATTTGCATAGTCTGTTGATTTTAGGAGTTTTTGGCCAGGCAACTCCAATAATTAATCTGCAAATAATTATTGGAGGACACACTTTCTGAGTTGTACTCTATATGTCTATGCATAGTGTGCTATTTTGGGCTGTTTATCAAGGCAGATACCACAGGCAAATGGCTTGTGATGATGTTATCATAATATTATAACACTCTATTTGGGTAACAGAGTGTTTGCTCTTAACGTTAATCTAATTAAGTTACTTAGTACAACGAATAACAATGCTATTGCAGAATTTTAAACCTCTTTCTGAAAGCTGACCAAGAAATTGGACCAAATTCTTTGGTGGGTGAATACCTGTGGCTTCAGGTTGAGGGTGATGGTATGCGGGCGTCCACTTGTGTCCCAGAAGCTGAACCCAATAGTGCTGAAGTTGGGGTCGATGAAAGTTAGCCTGCCGAAAAAAAATAGTCTGTAAAAGGAAACTGGCTGCTCAAATGTAAAAAAAAATATTTCTAAGAATGTAATTTCCATTGTGCACATCAGAGAGTGAATCTTTCATATCATGCATTGCTTGATTTCATTGTAAAGCAAGTGCGTACACCACACATGAGTGGTCTGAATGTGGTAAACAGGCACCCAAAGAAGCTCAATCCAAGAGATCACTTCATTTGACTCTACTGTGAAATGTAAAATAAATTGGGCACACAAGTCAGAGGTATAAAATACCTAATACAGCATTTTTAAAAAATTATCCTGGACTTTTCACATTTTAATGCAAAATTTGCATCACTGATCTGTCAAAAACAGCTCAATCCTTCACTAGAATTTCCCACATCAACAACCGAATATCTGCACATAAACCTGACATGGAACACTTCTGGAATCATGATTACACCTCTCACATTAACCTTCACAAGGTCATGAGTCAGCAATCTCGTAAACACTGGTGCTAGACACTGTTACTCTTACAGCAGGTTAGGGCATGCGTGCAGAGCATCAAATTGTGCAGGTTAGGAGCCTCCCCTCACATGCATGTTTTTCAAATGCCTAAATTTGAAGAGTTTTTACTTATGAAATTTTCTTAAAAACTATTTGTGCCAGGAATTGGATAAACGATCGTGTGTCTGTTTCACATGCTGTTATTGTTATTACAGTCAGCGGGTGGTTGTATTGGCCCAGCTGTCAGAACACAGGAGCCTCTTCTTGCACAGCAATGCGGCACCTTTAATGTGTGCAAGCAGCCCGCCGCGTAGATTGCCTGATGTCCCCAAATCAGCCAGCACACACAACAGTGCTGTACAAGTGTATAACCTACATTATGAGTAAAACCATTTAAACACTGCATTGTTTTTCGAATATTTTAATCAAACCAAACGTAATGGTATGTATGTTGTTCATCTGGAAAAATACATGTAAAACACTTTTTGTTATAGACCGCACAAAGTGGCGTTGATCTTTTTGCTGCATTCCCAGTGGAACTACCTTACGAGGTACTTCTACCACGGAGAAGGTAAGGATTCACAGCTTGAATCCCATATCAATGTGGTAATGTTATGGACCATTAGGAAAGCATGCCATATGTTGACAGGAGGATGTTAAAGACGATAAGACATCATCTGTAAAAGTAGGCCATTGTGTATGGATGACCATTGCTGTAACACCACGCTTTAACAAAAAATCACAAAAATATAAAATCTTAATAACTACACTTTCCTGATGTTACTAGACGTTTCAATTGATAATCTGAATGCATTAAGTCATTGGGGCCTCACCTTGTTCTAAGCAGACTCAGATTGACACTACAGTGTTGACAATAATTATATAGATCTTTGTCAAAGAAAACACTTAAGAATATTTCCAAAACATGTTCATCTAAAAAAGTATGCACAAATAGATATTTAAACGTACGTGTCTGGTGTTGTAATTACAAGTCACAATTTTTCTTGCCCCCACTTACATTTTAGAGTTTTACTCTAAATTAGCATCATATGTCCCTGTATTTGGCACATCTGCCAGTACATCCAAAAGCTTGCCAATAAATCCCTTCTGTGCCTACAATGCCAACCAGCTGCAGTATGCTAAATAAAGAAATGAACACAACACATATGGCAAAGGTCTACTACTCCTGCACTTACGTTTCCCATCCCAGGGCCTCAATTTCTCCAATGAGCCGCGAGTAGTAAGAAGGAGGTGGTGGCGCGTGCAGTGCTCTTTTGCTCCTTAAAGAAGTCTCCTGGGAGATACGGGGCGGTACGAAGGTGGCACATGTCCACCATGGAAGCCGGTGCTGTCAGTGGGAAGGAGCGCTGCTAGACATCTTAAAATGGCAGTACACCAGGGTTACACTGAAACACCGACACTCACCAAGATCATCTTTAGCTCCACGATGAAGTCTTCTAAGGACTGGCTTTGTTCTAGCCTCTGAAATACATAAGCATACCTGTGACATACCAAAGCGTGCATAGCATGTTTTATCGTATATTAATAATACAATTTTTAAATCCACTATGTAGCTCATAGGGGTTGTTTTATCATATTTCACCAAGCTGGTTGTAGTGCAGATTTCCAAAATGGGGGGGGGGGGGGGGCTCAGGGATGGTTCAGACACCACTTGCCACCAACGTTAACCATGGCCAGGAATCAAACTCAGGTCGTTGGATGCATTGCAGAGCACTAATTGCTGCACCACTGTGCGACTTATTTATAGTTCTGTAATTCACACTATATTATTAATGCTGTGCCCTATTTTAGAAGTGTAGTATGTTTTCATTTGAAAATATGAACAGGAAAATATATTCATGACAAGGTAAAATTATATGGTAAAACATGTGTGCAAAGAGTAGAACACATGTTAACATCAAACTTTACAATGCCTCAAGCATTACAATGTTGATAACTGAAACATTATACGTGAACTATTTTACACTGAAAATTGTACAAGATTTACAAAAACAATGAGTGTTTCTGCTGGTATCCTGAAGATTTCACAATACAATTTTTCTACGGAATTACAATGCTAGAAATCTAGACATTTTACAGACAAGTACTGTAGTATATTATAAGACTAAGGTAAGCAACAGCCTAATGATTTGTGAAATAAAATACAAAAGCTAACATCTTCTTTGGTTCTTTCGGTAAAGTCACGTAGAATGAGAATAAAATAATAAATTGATAAAATAAAATAACACAATAATATTCTCACGACGTTTCGGCCACAACACAAGCGGCCTTCATCAGGTGAAGGGGCGAGACTGTCTGGTAGGACAGCGCTGGAGTGAAAGAGCCACGTTCAGATCACGGCCTTTAAGCCTCAAATTTGAGGCTCGCCCCTTCACCTGATGAAGGCCGCTTGTGTTGTGGCCGAAACGTCGTGAGAATATTATTGTTATTTTATTTGATCAATTTATTATTTTATTCTCATTCTACGTGACTTCACCGAAAGAACCAAAGAAGATGAATCATTGCAGTCATGAAAGCTTTAAATCGAAACAAAAGCTAACATTTTAAATATAAGATCAATAAATAATTATGTACTGAACCAAAAGCAACAATTATAATTTTATGTCTAACCTGGTGAAAGCCATTCGAGATGCAATTAGCATTCGCAAAGTGTATTTATTAATGTAGCCAAAATTACCTGCTTCACAAGTGCTTGGTGGCCTCGGAGTGCCTGCTTGAGCTGCCAGCTGCAGTGCAGCCTGGCAACAGAAGAAATTGCATTTCAGGTCACTGAGAATCTGTCAGAGACAGCAGATGATCAAAGTTGAGTTTTTTTTTGTAGGAACACAATATCCTAGTGAAACACCTTATTCAAAACATTTAGATCAGTAAAAACTCTGCACAATGGCTTCTGAGTAATGAAATCACACAATAGGCAGTAAAAAATGTTTAATATTTAATGTTGGATGCATGTAAATGTTTGATTGTGAAAGGGTGATTCGACTTGGTAGAAAGTGATTGTCATCCAAGCTCTCTCTCAAGCCTTGGCCTAAATATAAAACAAATATTGAGAAATACTATATGGCATAAAAAAATTGAACAGTCACATATTGTATGAATCAAGTACCAAGCTACATCTTAAAAGTGAAGTCACATAAGGTGATGCACTAAATCACAGCGACATTAGAAGATATTCTTTGAAAATCGGATTATAGAAGCAAAAGCATAAATACTAATCGAGAAGACATTAACCATATTATATTTATTGATGACATTGTCATTATAATGTCCTATAGGAATGAACTGCAGGAAATGGTACAATAATTTAATAAAAGCTCCTGCAAAGTTGGGCTCAGGATAAATATGAAAAACACAAAGGTGATGGACAACAAGTTCCCTAAACGATTGGATATATATATTTTGGAAGGTCATAGCTGGAAACCAAAGCAGTATATGTATACCTAGTGTGGCTATTGAAGGTGGACGGGGATCCAAATGATGAAATAATGACGTGGACAAAATCAGGTTGGGGTGCTTTTGTAAAAAAAAAATCATTATGAAAGTAACATAATAATGCACCTGAAAAATAAAGTGCGTACTACCTGCAATGAGATATGGTTCAGGCACATGAATGTTGAAGAAAATGCAACAGACTAAAAGTGCGCATGGAAGCTTGGATAGATGCATGCTTGGAATTACATTAATAGACAGAAAGAGGAAAACATGGATTTGAGAACATAAACAAGTTAATGAAATTATTCAAACTGTTAAGAAAGTGGGCTTGGGCATGACACGTTACTTTCAGGGATGATGGTCGACTGTGAAGAGTAATAATGGAGTGGCAAGCAAGGAATGGAATGTGTGCACATGAAGGATATCACTTTCCCACCTGCCCTTCTACAAAGTGAAATGCTGTAATTTTAAAATCTGAAGTATGAAAATTATACGATAACCTACTGATGACAGAAATAAACTGTATATGTCACATTAAGTACGTGACAGTGACGACTGATGTTTACCTTGCATTTCTCACTTGGTCATCTGGTGGAAGTGCAACATGCAACCTAAAATCTCTTTTCTAGATTTAAAGCTTTCGTGACTGCAAGGATCCATACTCTTTGGGTAAAGTCACGTAGGTAAAAAATAAAATAACAAAAATCACGACGTTTCGGCCACAACACAAGCAGCCTTCATCAGGTGAAGGGACGAGACTGTCTGGAGGACAGCGCTGGAGTGAAAAAAGCCACGCTCAGATCACGACCTTTAAGCTGTGTGAGAAGAGGAAGGTCAGCGTCTCGATGAGCTGTGACTTCTTGTCCCGTTGTCTGTTAAAAGCTCTAACAGATAGGTGAAAGCCCTCCCCATAGAGGTTATCAATTCTAGATTTAAAGCTTTCATGACTGCAAGGATCCATACTCTTTGGTTCTAATGGGTAAAGTCACGTAGGTAAAAAATAAAATAACAAAAATCACGACGTTTCGGCCACAACACAAGCGGCCTTCATCAGGTGAAGGGACGAGACTGTCTAGAGGACAGCGCTGGAGTGAAAAAAGCCACGCTCAGATCACGACCTTTAAGCTGTGTGAGAAGAGGAAGGTCAGCGTCTCGATGAGCTGTGAAAAATCATGAAAAGATAAATCTGTAAAATGAGTGTGCTGTCATACTGATATCTCAAATTTTAGAACTGGAATTTAGCCAAACGAATTTAATGTGATGTATTTTGTGGTCAATGGTGACCAAGGTGTGATGATCAACTCACTATATGCTTGAGAACCAAGTTTTAATCAGGATATCAGGGGTTACCAGCTCAAAATTCTGACCTCCGAACCACACGACTACCTCTGGTTACACTGTAATTTTAAAATCTGAAGTATGAAAATTATACGATAACCTACTGATGACAGAAATAAACTGTATATGTCACATTAAGTACGTGACAGTGACGACTGATGTTTACCTTGCATTTCTCACTTGGCCATCTGGTGGAAGTGCAACATGCAACCTAAAATCTCTTTCCTAAAAAAATCATGAAAAGACAAATCTGTAAAATGAGTGTGATTCAAAGGGAATAAAAAAACACATTTCTGTAAACTAATGAAAAATATTCTGATGCAATTATTACAAGGTTTACATTTAGCATATTTATAAACATGTCATCGAAGACACTCAAGGGTGCTTTACACAAACAATTAGGGCATAATTTGATTGGAGACATTACCGATAAAAAATAACACTGTGGCACACAAAAAGGAAAAATATAGCCACTGCATTCCAAACATGGGCAAGGTTCAGTCATAAACAGTGAATTGACCAAAGACACGAAAAGACTTCCTTTAAACCATATTTATAAAAATCACTGTCATGAGAACGCTCAATTGAGACGGTTGTTGTTCTAAACAATGTGAATGAAACGAGGGCTTACCCTGACGGTGATGAAGCCATCATAGAGGGTTCCCTCTTGGTTCAGCCGCACAAGCAGAGGGCACTCCTGCATCATCCCACTGCAAGCCATGACTCCTGCTCACTCACGACAAGACTGAACACTTGGTTATATAGTGTATGCCAACACCGTGGCTTACAACACTATTCATGAAAGCACACTTGCGATATGCAGTAGTTTTCCACATTTGCTATTTACATACGAGCATATCAATAACAAATTAGCATTACTACAAAAAAATGTTTAAATATCTGCTGGTAACGTTATTTTAATTCTAAATTTAAGGAATAATCTGGTTATACCAATGTACGTGTTAGTACCAAATAATTTAATTCTAAATTTGTTTATTTTACAAATAGGCAACGATTATTGTACTCCTGTCAGGATCTCCAGCCTCCCCACTCTGCTAACCAGTAGCATATATTTTAAAAGCATACATTATATATTTCACTGATATTCAGTATTTAGGTGTTAACTAAATGTATTTGGTGGATAATTACGTGTAAAAGTCATGAAATTAGAATTGATTATATTTACTTATTTGCAGTATATGTATGGGATGCTGGTTGGGAATCGGTAGAGTTGATGGGTTGGTTGGCGCGGACACAACACAACGTTGGAGTTCACCAAATTATATAACATACTGCAATACAAAACCACATTTTATTTGGGTCTATCTACGTGACTTTACCGAAAGACGCAAATAATATGAATTCCTGCAGTCACGAAAGCTTTAAGTAAAGAAAAAATCCACATGTAATGAGAGTACTGTCTCTCCTAAGAATGATTGGAGAAAGCCAAATTATTTTACGAGTAGGCAATAGCTTTGCTCTCGAACCCCCACTGAATTGCAGACCCCCGAATGCAGCAAAAAAAAAGTTTCCTTGCGCAAAGGTGGTCCTTGGACATCATAGCGGAATGCATGGCAATATACCTCTACAGCATTCAAACGAACCCATGGTTTCTCATCAACAGCAAATAAAAGTTTTTTATGACAACAATCACTAGACCGTGTATTAAAGATAAAGTGTACAACCAATTGTGTAAGAACAACGTGTGACTGTGGGGACCCCCCGTGGGGTCTCGGCCTCTGACCTCCCCCGACAGGAGGCGGGAGCGGAACGCGCGAGCGGCCACGAGGAGGCGGCTGGCGGCACTGCGTACAGAGCCCCCCCCCCTCGTATTAACCATACTTCACCGCGCTGGTCAGCACGGGCTGGTGAATGCGAGCAGCAGCATAGCCGCGTGGCCTTCTCCCATCAACCTGAAGACATACAGGACTCTCGTGGATGATGAGCGGTCGCTCATCAAAGCACTGTCCAGGCTCTACGCCTGCGACAAGTTCCCGCGCATTCCGAGCCATTTCATCAATGACGCGGCTACTCTTACCTCGTAACATTTATCATTGCTACGTATGCAATGACAATTGTGTTCCTATTGTTGTTGTAATAATCGCCGTGTAAGGTAATGTAATAATGAGGTAATGTAATGTTTGAATGCCGTGGTCTCGGCGCCTCACTCACGTCCAGTCCCTCCGAGGCGGCTTCCGTCCCCACTCCGGTTGCCAGATCAGAGGGAAAACATGACAATGGGGGAAATCCCTCTACATTCAAACGATTTCATAAAATTGAGGTAAAATATATACACGTAGGCAGCCAGCCTGCATATTATTTGCAGATAATTTTGTATAAATCTTATGTAACCAATTCGCATGACTCCATGCATGTGAATCTCGATGCGTTATTGGGCATGGCAGCAGCGGTGTGTTCAGGAGCTTGATGCCAACGTCGAGGACTGCCGGCCACGGCAAGAGGGCTTCACAGAATGAGACTTCTCAGAGAGAGTTCGTGTAATTGTGTGATTGCCCCATCCGTGGAAGGTGCACAGACGACAGTGGTTTTAATCTACAATCGCGCTACTACCGTGAATTATGAATGAGATGCACGCATCGGACTGCTGGTGACGTCCTGATATGATTGATGGTCCCACCAGTGTCTTCGAGGTAGATTGTCACAGCCAGGAGGTGGGCGATGATGCACTATGTGAATCGATTGCAATCGATGATGCTCGTCGCTCTGGTGACCAGGGGACCGGCGGAGTTCGTCGCCTCCTGCTGCTGCCGTCGCGGGCGCTGTGGCCGCCAGGGAGCGCCATTGTACCACCGGTCGTGCCTGTGGGTCTCGGGCTTCTGAGTTTTTATCATTTCAATATAACAGGAACGATAATAATTAATATACATATCCTTTGTCACTACACTCAGTTCTTCAAAAGCACTCTTCTCGTTCTGCTCCTTCCCTCGCATTGCAAGAGTTTGGAATTCACTCCAATTCTTTATTTCCGTCAAGCTCTTAAAATAATCACATTGCTTCTATTTAAGAATCGTGTGATACTCATTTATATTACAACTTGGATGGTGCAGTTTGTTTCTGGCTGCTTCGCGTTTTGGGACTTTGCTCAGCAACTGTTTACAAAAGTCATCACCGACTCTCGTCCGTCTCCTTAGTTAATATGGTTTGCAAATATATGCATAACTGTACTCTTGTTTACAAAATATTGTGTTGGTCAACAGCAGGTCTCCAAGAAGGGCAACGCGAAGTCCACAGCATGGTTTTGTACCTGGATGCAGTGTCCAGCAGGGGCAGTACAGCAACATTGATGGTTGTACCGTACTTGTATGTTCTCATGTCTATGGTCCCTGGCTTCACTCCACCTAAGTGGTCAGGTGATGGCAGTACAGGAGTGGATTTGTTAAATATATCTGGGCGGAGCTTTGAGCGTTACCCTCTATTACGTGCGGATTTTTATTTAGGCGAATTCAGTTTCCCTTCACCTGCCAAATCACACGTGAATTAAAATGGCTAAACATCCCAAATTGGATCGTCCTAAAAAGTCTTGAGATTCAATCGGCCATCCCTGGGCAAAGGGCATCATTATTACCTACTAGGCTCTAACGAGGGCTCCTGTGTATCTGCAGTTGTATATTAACAATGGCAACCGGGGAATCACAATGATCCTATTCCCGCTGCCACCTGTGGAAAGGCAATGGGAGATGTTGAGGAGGGATTCGCGGGATGTCAATGCCACCATGAATGCCCTGTGGTGATAGGACCTGAGTCTAACATCGTTTGCGAGCCACATGGCCCACCCCGAGTGCTGATGGTGGCCACTGCTCCATACGATGTGTTGTGGACATGGTCTGAAAGCAGGCGCGTGGCAGCAGGCACGCAACAACTTGATCCACCTTCTTTGGTTCTTTCGGTACAGTCACGTAGAATGAGAATAAAATCATAAATAAATAAAATAACACAATATTATTATTTTATTCTCATTCTACGTGACTTTATCGAAAGAACCAAAGAAGATGAATCCTTGCAGTCACGAAAGCTTTAAATTGAAATTTAACTTGATCCACATTTGTGTTTTTGAGCCAGGCCACGTGACAGACGGTAGTTGTCTACAATTTTTTTTGTCATGAACCCTCCACCACCCAATGCGATTGTCACGTTTACAAAGATAGTATTTATACCTGGCAATGTATTGATCAAAGTCTAACTGATAAGCTCCAGCTCACAGCATTATTTGTATATAGTAATATACATGTGTTTTACAGAGCTTGAACATAAAACAAATACCTGTGGTATTAACAATGCCCTTGGACACGCATGTGTGTTATAGTCTGCAGAGCTAGATATCTCTAGCAACCTTTTTCAATCCCCTGTTGAACGAATACCTCAAATGGATACATTTGCCTATGATTCTTCCTGCATATCTCCAATCCTCACTTCCACTGTAGGGGTTTCATCGCTCCATCTTTCGCTTACCTGTCTCCACCTTGCCCACAGGCCACCTCTTAACCACGACCCAATCCCACAGTGTCCTCCCCCTGTCATCGTTGTTTCCCCCTCATCGATCGATCAACGCACACCGTTGGCCACAGTGTATGGATCGAAGATGTGATCAATGGCATAAAAAATAGAGAAAAACATCTGAGAATCGCTTAAAGGCAAATAATACGTGGCAAGGTTAGAATAAACGAAAAATACACGGACTGCATCGAGAACAGAACCCAAATGTGAGACATCACACTCACCATTAGAACAAGTTCAGCTGGCAGATTGCTGAATTCAACGTGGCAGATGATGGATAAACACGTCTCCCCTCTGCACGTCTGTGGCAATTACTATTCTGGCCCCACATGAAACGTGGAGCGCATTCGTATGGCTCGTGCGCGGTCCCGTTGTGGATCTAAAAATGACTAAATGACCGCTTTCAAACCTGACGATGAAAATGACTGCAATTAAGTGTCAGGTCGCCATTGTTGGCGCGGAGAGGGCTTCTGTGTCGTCTTTATTTGTAATTAATTATTTATTTCGCTGCCTACAAAGGTGACCCGCGTTGTCTCTCCCTGTGCCGCATGTGTGCCAAACACTTCACCCTGCGCTAAGTGGTGGTTGTTGAAATGTGGTGGTGGGGGGGAAGGGTGGTGGAGGGGGGGGGGCGCGGTGGGTGGGGGGTGACACAGGGTGGCAGGAAGACGGTGTTGGCTGGGAGGTTTTAAGAGAGGAGCAAGGGGGTTGGTAGGAAGTGGTGATGGTCTTGGGGCCACTGCATCTAAAAAAACACACAAGGGAGAGTGGGGAGTTAGTGGAGAGGTGGGGGAAGATGGGGGACAGTAGCAAGAGCCCAACGCTGATGAGTGCAATTTACTCCCCACCGGCCATTTTCAGTGAAAATTGTCCCGCGCATAATTGCATGGCTCGGAGCTGTTGTCTGGAGTGTATGGCCAGGTTTGTGTGGCATGCCTTGCTTGCAATAGGGCTGCACGCGTGCTTTATGGAACACGCAAGTATAGAGATGCACACACACTCTCTCACGTTCTTCCATTATGAGGAATTATACAGGTCTGTTTTTTTTTTAAAGCGTGGAAATCCCATGAAAATTAACATGAATCATATGTTTTAAAGGGGAATAAAAAAATTGCTGATAATGGTAATTCCCTAATAATAATTTAATAAGGCTAAACTAATTCACGTTTTAATCATCTTAATGGCTGCGTTACGGAATAGAGACATCGTTTTCACAGCAATTTGTTGCTAATACTTATTGAAGCTGTCTCCCAAGTGTGTATATGCACATATAATGTGGTGCACACATGCACACACGTATGTGTAATTAAGATAAAAAAAATCAACAATTCCTCATTTTGTGCCAACTCCAAGTTCCTAAAAAAATGTTGGGCAAATGTCAGAGAGTTGTGATGACTCGTCAGCCCACAAAAAACCCACTTCCATCAGATAGTGTGAAAAATCACTGCCATTAAGCATCTTTATTAAAAAAACAGTTTTGCTTCCAATGTTGTTTTATTTAGCAGAGATGTATTTCTAGGTTTTCAAATTGTATTTTAATGGGCTACATCTGCTCCGCAAGGTCATTAGCCTGAATATATTTTTTTTAACTTTCCAATCGCCATCCGCTCCCAGACTCGCGATACATTTCCTCGGACACGCTTACTTTCACCGCTCATTGCGCTAATAGAGCCCCGTTCCTTACAAGGCATTAACGAAATTAATTCCTATGTATAGCGTTTGGGCCTAATCGCCTTCATCAAATGAGGCAGAAAACTAAACTTCCAGCAAGCTATTACTGTCTGTGGCGCGGCATATGTTCATTCTGATAGATTTACGATCATTTGACCGCTGCGGTACATACAGAGCTTATCCTGCAGCACGCAGCCAGATAGACCACTTACACCGAGATATGTACACGGCACGCGTGCACAGTACACGAGTGTTTTCCCACACGTGGGTCGGAATGATTTAAGAACAAGCTCCTTGGTGTCACATTGCTCTATAACGCCTGTAAAGGTTTGATGAGTTTATCTTGATGTACTCATCATGTAACAATGCTAATTTATTCTGACTAAATATCATTGATGTTGATTGTTCAGTTTAAGTTCACGTCCTTAAATTGTTTTATCGCCCACCGCATATATTATGCGCATTATAAACATAAACTTACGGAGGGTGACAAGTCCGAGTAAACAAGGACCCTACGTGATACAACAACCACACTTGGTCTGAATAGGGAGCTGCTGCATGGCTGTTGGTGAAGCGCGTAGTTTGTTTGGTTGCACGCAAGGTGGCCGTGCAAAGTGAAGATCGGCGACAAACTGAGGTCTGAACACAGGAGCCGTGCGAGGGGTCCGCAGCCGATTACAAACATAACAGTGTCCCACCAGGGCCATGCTCACGTGACATCACGTTACCGGCTGTATTTGTCACTTACTCACTTTGGGCCCTGTGTCCATTTCGTGTTGGGTATGTGTCTCAGCTGTGTCCCACGGCCAGGGTGAATAGCACACGCTGCCGACGATAATGAAAAACATCGGGGATGTTTTTGTTCTAAACGCACATCGCCTGCCTTCATTGAGCAGATTACTTTGAAGCATCGCCTGCCTTCATTGTGTACATGCTTCACAACACGCCTTGAGATGCACGTTTTTATTTTACTAAATTGTTGACTGGCTCTCGGTTTGGCACAGTCACGGTGAAAACAGCAAAGCGGTGTGGTCCCAGCGAGGGGATTGCCACTGGACGGGCATTGTCCGTCGACTCCCAACTTCTCCGACGTGTCTCAACTTTTGATCGCGTTCCAAAAAAAAGATCGAGACCCGCCGCGAGGAAGCGCGGAGCACAATTATTTCTTTACCCCCGTCCCCAGGTTTTCAACCTATTTCACGTTCAAATCACTTTGCATATGTCTTCATTTGCTTTCCGATTATACAGTTTTAAAGCCTCTTTGCCTGGCTCATTAACCTCTAACGGCAAGCAGCATATGTCGTATGGGCACCCAGGGACAGCCAATAGCATTCGCAAAACCCCTCCAAAACAGTCGGAGCACCGCGCCTGCTGCTCACCCTGCCACAGGCCAATCAAACAAATCAATTCTGCTGTCACTTAATAGGCGGCTTAACCCCTTGTGCAGATCACTCCAGGCGACACCAACAACACAAACAGTTGACCTTGTGTGGTTTGGGCTTTGGCAAAGGAACTGCCTTTGAGCAGACCACGCGGAATCTGCCCGATCTTAGAAGCGGAGCAGCGTTGAGGCAGG